ATTTTAGATGTGAATTTTACTACGCTGCTGGTCAGCCTGATCATACATACATACAACGCTGCAGGACAGTAGATAAGTATTTCTTTTGCTGCTGTGCAGCATGCTGAAATACATTTCTTTGTTGATTGTGAGTGGGGATTGTAAGTATAATTTTCTTATATTTTCCTTTCCTTTCTATAGATACAGATGTGTTCCCTACAAACGCAGATATGCTACGCCTGTTTGAAAAATCAAATGGAGCCAATGATACAGCTACAAATCTGCAGAAGTCAATATTGGTCGAGTTTCCAAAATCCCCAGCTGCTAGTTGTGAACCATTAAGTATACTTACAAAAGTCAAAGCGTGTAAATGATAAACATAAGAAATTTCGTAAAAACAAAAAAAGTGAACAAGATGAAAAATTTCTTAGTATGGTATTTGAATTTCCTCTGAAAAAAGATATATCTGACAGTGATAACTTAACTATTGATAATACTGAAATAAGAGAAAATATAAAAATAATTCAAGAAAAACAATACAGATTGTCAAAGAAAATAGACAATTGAAAAGAAATGCAGAAACGTCAGAAAAAATCAATGAGAATCTTTCTTTCCAAGCGGCAAACAGTGAAAGAAAATTAAGTTTGCTTCAAAATTTATTAGAAATAACTCTAGAAAAATATAGTAGGGCTATTGAATACAAGAAAACAAGCTATGCTCTTGAAGAAGATGTAACACAGTGGGAAAATAAGTATGATGATTTAAGTAAACAATTTGATTCGACTGCTAAAGAACTTAGTGAGTTAAAACAAAAAAATCAACAGCCAGTGTACAAGGAACTTGAACAAAAAAATCAAAAGAAGAGATGAGGCAATTGAAAGAGAGAAAGAAAATGTGAAAGAAAAAATAATTGAGTTGAGAGAAAGAAATTGTGAGCTAGATGGTATGAAAAAATAAGAATGAGAGTTTAGTTAAAGAAGTGGAAAATCTGAAACGAGAAAAAAGAAATATGTATTCTAAGATTTTAAGAGCTAAACAAAAAACAAAGTTCTAATGATTCAATGTATGATCTATCTGAAAATATTTTTTTAGAAATTCAAAGTTTGAAATCAGAAATAGAACAAAAGAATGCTAGAATCAATATGCTTATTGACACAAAAAACTTCCTTACTGATGGGGTTATTGATACATACTATGAAGGTAAGTACAAGAATGAGGTACGACAGACAATTATGACCTTAGTAACTGAATGTGGCGTAAGCCAGAGTAAAAGTTAACAAAGTAATGGAAGTTTGTGGTAAAAAATCTAACTGGTATGACTTTGTCACGCCTACCAAGTACTGGGGTAAAATCTAGGCTCGTTCTTGAGGCAAAAATGGTGGCTAATCGACAGATAGCTGAAGCCATGCTAAATGATAATGCTTCATTTACATTACACCAAGACGGCACATCTAAGCACCACCACCATTATCAGTCATACCAAATAACAGGAGCAGATGGTTCTACTATGTCCATCGGTATGCATGAGGTTAGCAGAGGTAATGCAGACACAATATTTCAAACATTCACAACAATATTATCTGATTTAGCGGAGACAATCAAAAATTCTGACAAAAGGCATAATATGGGTAAAATCATTTCAAATATCATAGCAACCATGTCTGACCAAGCAGCAACCAATCATGTATTTAATGAAAAACTTCAGAAATTTAGGGAAGATTTCCTACCTATCGCTTATGATAATTGGGAGCAAATGGATCTATCTAGCAAAGAAGAATTAGGTAAGCTTTTCGCTTTTTTCTGTAAAATGCATATATTTGTCAATATGGCCAATGAAGTGGATTCTTCTCTATCACAGCTAGAAAAGGCAATTATAGCTGAAGGTCGAAACCCACATGCCTTTTCTAGCAAAAGTGAAAGTGGCACTGTCAGGTTAATTCGAACAGTTAGTAAAGATTTGACAGAGGGTGGGTGTGAGCGGTCAGGCGTAGGTGGTCATTTTTCAACATATCTTCGAAACAAAGAGGTAAAAAACCACTTAGAAACATTCAGGGGCCATAGATTTAATCATCTTTTCCATGCTGCCGCCACAACATATTACCATTTGGATGATATCCGTGACTTTTTGGACAGTTTTTCAGATCACAATGAATTAACACTGAGTGTTATGTTTGATGTCCGTGAACCGCTTTATGTTGCATGTGTAAGGGCCCTGGGACTCATTGACAAGGTCATCACTGGTCCGCTTTGGCGTGTAATTGAAGCAGCACCAAACTGCCTTTCATTAAATACACATTTGCTTCAACTCAAGATAGCTCTTGAAAACTGGTCAAAAGACGCAGCGCCATTTCTCGAGGGCGAGTGTGTATTTGATGAAATGGTAGCCCCCTATAACACGTGATTGTGTTTATGATGCTTTATTCACACCAACAGATGACCCAGTCATTGAGACATACACACAGATGGCCTTAGAGGTGAGTTTTGGGGCAATGTTAATAATACTTGAGCGCCAGGCCAAAGATCAGTTACCCGGTGGTAAGTATTGGCATTTAGACCAGACTACAACTGAACATCTGGCAAATGTTCCAACAACAAACACCGTGTCTGAACGAGATTTTGCACAGCTTGATATACTGATGAAGGCTAAACCGGCAGCTGCTGCATGTACATATGAATCTATAATTTTGTGGACAAACAACAAAACAAGTAAGTGGTTAGATTCTCTTGAAGATGATGTCCGTGCAGACATATTAGATCAAGCCAGAACAAATGCACCATGTTTGCGAAAAAAAATACAAGAACGCCAGTTTAAACTTTTTCAGGCAAAGGTACAAGTTTTGAAAGAAAAGCAAGAGAAAAAGGAAAAAAAAGCTGAAAAAGCATACATAAAATAAGGTTATGTTAACAAAAGAACTTGAAGACTTAGGTGGCTTGTGGATGACTTCAGATGATATGATGAATTTTAAACAGAAATGTTTGTCGTCATGTGATAAAATTGACACTGTCCGATACAATAAAGCTGTAGTCACTCAAATTCTGTTTCGCAAAAATGTGCTCAACTGTAAAGGTCCTAGACAAATTTTTCAAACAACCCAAATCAAAGGTAAGCATTTGACAATATCAGATCTTGAAGAAAATCTTAAACAAATCATGGTTCTGAATGCTGATTTTGAAGAAGGCAATGCTATTGAGAAAAAATTGACATACAAAGATCCTGATCAGGTTAAATCTAGTGTTGTATCCTTAAAAGAAAATCTTTTTTCCAAAATAGAAACTGGCAGAAAAAAAATAATTGTTCAACAGCAGAAGGATCTTCTCCCAACATTTTTGGAAAATCCAGAAAACATGGTAGGTAAAAATATTAAGCATAAACTGAAGGATCCTGAGACAGGAGTCGTTGAGTGGAGTAAAGGTAAGGTTGTTGAAATTTTCAAACCACATCAGAATCAAACCAAAGTTGAATATAATATTTGTTTTGACGAATACCCAGATGAGTTGTGGCATTTTAACATAATAAAAGACATGCAAAATGGTGATTCGATTCTATGTTAATAGGCCAAAATATTACCAGGTTTACTGACATGATCCCTGGGTGCTGTAGTTTTCATTGATGATTTTACTATGGTAACCATTTTTACATAACTTTTCAAAACATGAATCTTTATTCATAATACTACAATAATTGAAACAGTAAACATACTATGTTATGAGTATTGTTATCAGTAAATTTTGACATTATATGTAATGGTATATAATATAATCAGACAAAGGCGCAACTTTCGTATATTGAAATGGTTGCCATGAAAATGGTATCTATGGTATATTTCATAATTTCCTTTTCCATTTCATTTTCTTAATTTATAGATTTATCATGCAAATTATCTTGATTTTACTATTAAACAATGGATTGACATCAAAATTATACTTGCTTCACTGTTTCTGGTATATTCATTTTAAGTGCATACTTTTTCACATATTTTTTCATGATGATTGTAACCATGGTAACCATTTCTGATTAACTTCTAAAAACATACGTCTCTAATTATAAAACTTTAATAATTTAAGAATGTTGTTAAAGAATGTAGAGTAGAGTTTAGATTCTATTTTTAGAATTTGAGTAAACTGACACTTGGTGGAGAATTGACATAAGCTGCTACCATTATTTCCTGAAATAGTTGCCATGGAAATTGTTAATTTCCCATAATCTGATGTAGATGTTTCAAGAATATATTGTTATATTTATATTCCTTGTGTAAATGATAAATAAAACATGGAAACATCTAGTGTTTTTTACTAATCATAATTTCTATATTGTTGATAATCTATTTCATTAAATATATTGCGGCCATTTTGTCGGCCATTTTGAATTCAAAATGGCTGCCAAGATACAAATTTCTAAAAATAGAATACACAGAATAATTCTAGAGCAGTTAACCTTCAAGAATATATATAGTTTATGGGTATTTTACTCAAGATATTCTGTTAGATATATTAAAAATGCCTGAAATTTGCACTATTCTCATAAAAACGGTGCCATTACAGCATATGTAATATATAATGGAAAAATAACACAAAATTTACATTACTTTCCGATATACAAATTGTCATTATACAAAAAGTATTAGACCTAGAGATGAGATCTATAGCTTATTTTGAAGGTAATTTCAAACCCTAGAAGATGAAAAGGTTTTCAAATCTATAACTGTTGCTATAAAAAATGACCTGAACCCCCTAATCTTAGTAAGAAATGTTTGCTAAATTTAAGATAATTTTCAAAAATAACTCCTAGAGATATCTTTCACATTGTCATCTTAATAAAATTGTGCGGTTGGTATAGTTATTCTGATTACAAACTGAAATTTGTATTAACACAAATGATTTGTAATTTTACAAATTATTTGTAAATTTACCAGTTTCCTAGACCTGATAATGAACACCCCCACCGCCCAATTGAAAGCAACTATGGTAAATAATAATTATTCTTCAATGTTATCATTGCATGGTGTGTAATGTCAACTTACATAGAAAAGAAGCATCAACAGTGCAACAATTATGCCCTCTATAGGCTTTGGATATGTGAAGTAATTGGAGTTATACTTTGGACCTTTCATTTTGTTTACTTGTGCCTAATTTTGGATAAAGACAGAGTTTTCCAAATAATATTGGATAAAAACTGTACCTTAGGTTGTACAGTACTAAATACCAAATAATAAAACTGGTCCTCTGTTCAGACACCTAAATTGACTTTAACAGTCCTTTTTAAGAATTATTAGATTGCATAAACTAAATTATTCTTTCTAATACAATAGCTATGCATGCAGCAATATTTGTCTAAAAGTAAAAAATCTACTAATACTGTAATATGAAAAAGGCAAGCCTCAAAGCGAGCTCGATTTTCTTTTACCGTAAAATAGTTTAAAATAATCGTTCATTTTTATTTTACATTTTCTGTTTTAAAATTGTCATTCGGTATTTCATAAACTGCTTCCGTTTATTCTGGTTCCCCATTTCTATTATGGTTCCTATATAAGTGGGCAGGACACCAGTCTAATTGCTTCCCTTTTCATCAGAGTACATCGGCTTTTATCGTTTATCTTGTAATTCGAAAAGTTGCGATGTGTCAATTTGGTACTTCGGACGAAATTTTGACACAGGGAATGAAAATATATAATTATTATAATGCCTACAAGAAAAACAAGAATTTGTAACAGAGTTACCAACATCCCCCGCCTCAGGGAAATGAAGCATAAAATTGTGCTATTTCAAAAGATTGAGGTAATGGAGTCCAAAATTATAATCAATGCTTAAGATCTGCAAATGCAACAATAAATTTATTAAAAAAAAATAAAATGAAACACAGAATTTAAAAATCTATCATGTTAAGTTTTGACCTCTGAGAGTGACCTTGACCTTGGAGGTAGGGGTGCAGGTGCTGTGCAAGATATATTGTCTTTTTATTGTAACTATTTGTGCCAAGTATTTTCAAAATCCCTTGATCTATGAAAAAGTTATAGATTGGACACAAAATATACCCTATAACAGAGATTATATTAATCTTTGACCTCTAAGTGTGACCGTACATAATTATAGTACAAGACTTAGTCAAAAGGGTGGGTATTGTCTACCTAAGGTCAAGGTCAGGGTTCTAAATCCTTTGCTTTCTCTAGTATTAAATTATGGAATGATTTACCTGTAGAGTTAACTGAGATCAACAGGTTACAAAATTTTAAGGTTGCCATCAAAAGTCATCTTATGAACAGTATTTAATTTTTTTTACTATGTTTTTACATATTTCGGCTCAGGATTTTAAATTGTCTGCTAATTATCTTTTTACAATTTTAGTAATGTGTTTTAAATCCTAGCTGTAAACAGGAGTATCATTAACTCCAGATTTGACTGCGCTATACATTTTTATGATTTATTAGTATTTTTAAAAATGCATGATTATATTTAGGTCTGCCTCTCTATGTCATGCCGCCAATACAAAGGACCACAATGGAAATAAGAGCTTTTTTGCCCTTTGTGTTATCCTTGGTTTTGGTGAGCATGTCAGTTTTCTCGTATGTGATATAGTATTTAATAATGCTCATTATTTTATCCTTTGTTATATTGTCAACTATGTATAATGCTTCCTTTGCCAAAATAAAACAATCAATCAATCAATTAAGGTAGGCACCCATGTTTTGTGCCAGACATATCATCTTGTTGTGATAATTTGTGCAAAGTATTTTTAAAATCCCTTAATCTATGAAACATGAGGGCCAAGATGGCCAGAGATTGCTCACCTGATCCATCAAACTCATCCGAACAATTACCTATAGACAAGCATTCTGACAGTTTCACGAGGTGAGTCAAAAATGTCACTACTAGACTAAGTGTTAACAAGGATTATCCATATTTGAGCAGTGTGACCTAGTTTTTGACCCCAGGTGACCCATATTCAAACTTGACCTAGAAATCATCGAAACAAATTTTCAGACCAATTTACAGGATACTTGGATTAAAACAGTTGCCACTAGTGGTTAACAAGATTTTTTTTCTATTTTTAGCTCCTGTGACCTAGTTTTTCATCAGAGACAACCCATGTTCAAACTCATACGAGCAATTACCTAGACAAGCATCCTGACCAAGTTTGATGATAATCGAGTAAAAAATGTGACCACTAGAGTGTTAACAAGGTTGTTCCATATTTTGGCGGTGTGTCCTTGTTTTTCATCCGAGATGACCCATGTTCAAAGTTGACCTAGAAATCATCGAAACAAACTTTCAGACCAATTTACAGGATATTTGGATAAAAACAGCAGCCACTAGAGTGTTAACAAGGTTTTTCTATTTTTAGCTCCTGTGACACAGTTTTTCATCGTAGATGACCCATGTTCAAACTCATACGAGCAATTACCTAGACAAGCATCCTGATCAAGTTTGGTGATAATTGAGTAAAAAATGTGACCACTAAAGTGTTAACAAGGTTTATCCATATTTGGGTGGTGTGATAGTTTTTAACCCCAGATGACCCATATTCAAACTTGACCTAAATATCATCAAAACAAACTTTCAGACCAATTTACAGGATATTTGGATCAAAACAGCAGCCACTAGAGTGTTAACAAGGTTTTTCTATTTTTAGCTCCTGTGACCTAGTTTTTCATCCGAGAAGACCCATGTCAGTAATAACCTAGACAAGCATCCTGACTAAGTTTGATGGTAATTGAGACAAAAATGTGACCACTAGAGCGTTATCAATGTTTTTCTATTTTTAGCTCCTGTGACCTAGTTTTTCATCCGAGAAGACCCATGTCAGTAATTACCTAGACAAGCATCCTGACTAAGTTTGATGGTAATTGAGACCAAAAGAACCGGTTGAACCGGGTGATGCTCCCCGAGAAGGTTCTGGACACAGGAAAGTATAAAAAAATGAACAAAGGGCAATAACTCCAAAATTAGACCAGGCTTTGTTTAGGTTCTTGAAGCGTTGCAGTTCTATCCAATTATATCTAGCTACCTACAAAGATTCATGTTGATATCTCTAATAGTTTTAAAGTAATGTCCAGGACAAAAGTCAAAAAGTAAAAATAAACAAAGGGCAATTACTTCAAAATAAGGCAAGGCAGAGTAATGATTCTTAAGCACTGCACTTCCACCCAATGAGACCTATCTATCTACAAAGTTTCATGTTGATATCTATTATAATTTAAGAGTAATGTCCCAGACAAAGTTCAAAGTGTCAAAATGAACAAAGGGCAATAACTCCAAAAGTAGGCAAGACAGTGTTACAGTTCTTGTGCACTGCAAACTTACTCAATGAGATCTATCTACCTACAAAGTTTCATGTTGATATCTCTTATACATTAAGAAATACAGTAGAACTTCGGTAAGTCGAAGTTGAAGGGACTTGCGTAAAAACTTCGACACATCGGGACTTCGACTCATGAATCGCTCTCAATTTCATGGCAAAATTTCGACCCGTGACTAGTCCTTATTATAAGGTATATAACGAAACCTATTTCACGTTTTTCCATCATTAATCTGATATTCACATTTTACAATGATAAATATTACAATGATAAATATAGCATGTTAAATAACGTTTTTCACGGCTAATTATTTGGACTTCCCGTTGACGTATACAATAGAGTTACAAAAGGCGTAACAATACAAAGGGCGATAACTAAACCAGCTTATACTATATATTTCGCGTGTTATTCTCACGCGACACCGGGTCAAGGATGTTTTCAAATGAAAGTAGTTCTTATTGTTTACTTTCAAATATCACCACGGCAATTAAAATAGTAACGATTATATAATCACACATTTTATCGCAAACAAAGGCTGTTTGAACACACGGCTGTGTAATTAACACCTGTCAAACAAGTTAATTGGAAATCGCCTTCGCAGCCAGATAAGGTGTGAAAAATGTCTCGAGATCGAAAGTGTCAAAATAATCGAACGACTTCAACTTATTTGTGGTAAATTGCACTAGATTTACTTAACACGGACCACAAAAAAACTTCGACACATCGAAAAAATCGACACATAAAATCTCGACTCATCAATAGGTTTTTATATGGAATATATAGAGGGAAAAGTCGGGACTTTCATTTTTCTTCGACACATCGAGAAAATCGACTAATCAAAGTTCGACTCATAGAAGTTCTACTGTATGTCCCGGACAAAGTTCAAAGTGTAAAAATAAACAAAGGGGGATAATTAAAAAATTAGGCAAGGCAGAGTTAAGGTTCTTGTTCACTGCACACCTACTCAATGAGATCTATCTACCTACAAAGTTTCATGTTGATACCTCTTATACTTTTAGAGTTATGTCCCGGACAAAGTTCAAAGTGTAAAATAAACAAAGGGGGATAATTCAAAAATTAGGCAAGGCAGAGTTACGGTTCTTGTGCACTGCACATTTACTCAATGAGATCTATCTACCTATAAAGTTTCATGTTGATACCTCTTATACTTTTAGAGTTATGTCCCGGACAAAGTTCAAAGTGTAAAATAAACAAAGAGGGATAATTCAAAAATTAGGCAAGGCAGAGTTAAGGTTCTTGTGCACTGCACACCTACTCAATGAGATCTATCTACCTACAAAGTTTCATGTTGATACCTCTTATACTTTTAGAGTTATGTCCCGGACAAAGTTCAAAGTGTAAAATAAACAAAGGGGAACAAGCAATTATCATAGTATTGCAAGCAATCCATAAGTCCCCTACCGGTTAGAACCCCATCAACATTCTGAAGGGCCATTGGCCATTCACTTATGTTTCAATTTTTCTCTATTTTAAGTAAACTTGTTGGAAAAGTTCTTTAAAAGTGATCACAGGAAACAGTGTGTATGAACAGACAGACAGACGGACTGAAGGACACTCTAAAGTTAATATTTGAAACATCCCTGTTACCAAAATATAACATTTTAAAAGCAGAATTCTTAAAGAGGAGATAACTCTTGAATTAATGATGCAATTTCATAAAAATTTTCAGCTCTTTTTGACTAATCACAAATATTGTTATATTTGCCATGTTTTAAGCCTATTTGTTGCCAAGGCAACTGATATTTTTTCAAAATAGGAAGAACAGATAAGACATGCATAATCTCAACACTGCTATCTACCATATGTCAAGTTTCATAAAAATATTTCCAGTACTTTTTGAGTTATCACTGGATTCAG